GGAGGGACAGCGCAGAAGGGGAAGGCCCCTTATGAGGTGGATTGATTCAGTGACTGGGGTAAATGGGATGGGTGTATCGGAGACGGTGTGATTGGCACAGGACAGAGCGGAGTTTAGGGATGTTGTACATAGGGTCGCTATGAGTCGCAAGTGACTCGATGGCACATAACAACAACAACAACAACATTCATTCATGTACTGGAGGTCCTAGCCTATGCAACAGGAAGAAAAACTGAAGAAAAAAGAAAGAGGAAGCAGAAAAAGGTTGTAAATAAGACTTTATTTACAAATAGCATAATTATATCTATGAAAAACTTTTGTACAAGATTTTGTATATTAAGAACTAAAATGTATATGTGAATTTATCAATATGACTGGATACATGGTTAATATATAAAAATTATATTCTTAAGAAATTATATATACATATATAGACAGCATTTATAATAGCAACAAATTATAACATACTTAAAAATAAACACAACAAAACCTATGTGCAATACATCTACATAGAAAGCTACAAAACACACAACACTGCTCAAAGAAATGAAAAAAGACCCAAATAAATGAAGTAATACATCATGCCAAAGCATTTAAAAATCAATACCATAAAGATATTTGTTCTTTCCCAATTTAGCTTATAATGTCAATGAAATTGCAATGAAGCCTCAACAGGGTTGTCTGTGTGGGTAAATTGACAAGGAAAAGAGTAAAGAATAACCAAAAATTAAACAAAAGTTGAAGGCTATTAGATAGCAAGAGTTATTATAAAACTTCAATAAAAACCCAGATGCAGATTGATGTAGTTAAGGTCTGACTGTGAAAAAGTAAAACAACAAAATATTTAGAAGGTAAAAAAAAAAAAAGAATCAAAACCAAACATTTAGAAGACCATGTAGAAGAACATCGTCAGAGGGGAAAAAAGAATTTTTGAACATAACGCAGAAGGCATTAGCACTAATGGAAAAGATTAATAAACTACTACACTAGCATGGATAATTTCTACTGTTTATCAAAAGACGCCATGTAGAGAAAGGGAGTGGGGGAAGAGCCACAAAGTGGCAGGATTTATTTGAACACATATAACCAACAAAGGGCTTTTACACTTGAATATTTAAAGAATTCTTTTATATTAATAAGAAAAACCGCAAAAACAAATGGAGAAATGGACACGATATTAGACGATTGACGACAGAGGATAATTATATGGCCAATAACAATATGCAAAGGTACTAAACATTATTAATTATTAATAAGGTAAACAAAATTAGAACCACACTAATATGCTGCTAATGGAAAAATAAAATAATGCCAATTCTTGGTGAGGATGAGAAGCAACTAAAACTTTCATACAGTGATAGTAAGAATCTAAATTGGCACAAACATTTAAGAAAATGTTTGACAATATTTACCAAAACTTTAAAAAATATATATATAATTGTTCTGTGCTGTTGAGTTGGAACCAACTCATAGCTGCCCCTACAAAGGATGTTCAAAGGCTGTAAATCACATGGGAAGGGATTGCCCATCTTTTGCCTGTAAAGTAAGATTCAAACCACATGCCTTTGGATTAACAACACAACTCCTTAACATTAGGCCACCAGAGCTCCCTCTATATGTAGATAAAACCTGATACAAAAAACATACTCCATTTCTGCACTTATACATATGTTGGAACTGTTTATGTATCTAATATTAGTCAAATGTTTGTCTTATAGAAACACTTCCAGATAAACAACAACATAACTCTAGCACAATAATCAAGCAGTCATAATAATACTTGTTGTATACTTGTTGGAAAGCAGCATCTGCTTGTTGTTAGAAACCTAGGAATCACTGGGTATCCATTGAATTTTTAATATAATGGGTTTTCTAAGGATTGGTTCCCAAATATGGGTTTTCTATTAAGTGGAACATATAGAATGAGTCAGTTCCAATGATACATAACAACAACATATAATCTCTGCTACAAGGACGGCACAGGATTCCACAGGTTTACATTCTGTTCTACATAGGATTGCTATGAGTTGGCAACTCAACAGCACCTAACATCAACAACATCCAATTATTTATCTATAGTTATATATCCTGATTGGGATATATCCAAGAAATGTGTATGTATGTGTACCAAAAGCTATATACAAGAATGTTCCTGGCAGTCATTTACAACTTCTCTAAGCTTAAAACTATATGAATACTTACCAGCATTGTTGTTATTAGTTGTTATATACCATCTAGATAGATCTGATGTAAATCACTTGGGAGGAGATTGCCCATCTTTCTCCAGTGGAGCAGTTGATGAATTTGAACCATGTGCCTTTGGGTTAGCAGTGCAGCTTCTTACCACCCAGCCACAAGAATGTGATATATTCATACAATAGAATACTATATAATAACAGAAATGGAAAAACTATCACTAACTGCAACAATAAGGGTGAACCTTACAAACATAATGTTGAGCAAAATAAATGAAATATTAAAAGTATGCGATATGAACTTATATTCCATTTATACAATTCTTAGAACCAGAAAAAACTAATTTATAATGGTAAAAGTCATAACATTGGTGATCACTATTAAAAAACCCAGGCGATAACTGGGAAGGGCAATAATGAGATTTCTGATTGAGCAGTGATGTTCTATTTCTTGAACAGAGTGCAGGTTTAATGAGAATGTTTACTACATACATGTGATTTATTATTAGTACACTCTTCTATATGTATAATTATCTCAATATAGTAATTTGTATTTTTTTTAAAAACCAAAGCAACTTTGTTTCAGTCAAATACACGCTTTCCACTTGATGTTTCTAATGTGGAAAGTAGCCACAGCTTTTCCCCTAGAATCTTTTCAAGCTTTCAGGGCATGGGAACACATTATTTGTGTTGTACACATGGTCATCTGTTTGAAATGTCCTCACAGGCTGGGGCTTTCTCGCCTTTTAGCACAACTTTCTAATTCTAATAAGCAACTCTTTCATCTCAGACTACTTTTACTCCTCATTTTCAGATGTCACAAAAACTCTCTTCTGTCTCTGACTTTGGTGAGAAACTTCCTACCTCCCCTTCCACCTTCTAGCACTGAGGTAAACTCAGAGTGCCCAAAAAGGAACAATTATTTTAAAATATGCCCACAAATTATTTGACCCTGCTCCCATGAGCAGTAGGATCTTGTTCCCTTCCCTTGAATGTGGATGGACCTTTGCAATTGTCTTAAATCAAATTTGGTCGAAGTGTGACTTTGTGACTTCTGAACAAGGTTGCAAAAAGCCATACAAACTTGACTGGTCTCTCTTGGAACACTCACTTGAGGGATGTGAAGAGACTAACTAGAAAAAGAGAGAGAGAGAGAGAGGCCCACGGAGTCCCAGCTGTTTGAGTCTTCCCAGTCTAGACAGCAGACATGTATAAGAAAAGTAGTCTCTGAGATGACTCCAGTGCCAGTCACTACAAAATCCCAACAGCATGAGAAGGAGAAGCCCTGTGTGAAAGCAACTAGTTGAGCTTGTTACTGTTTCAAGGTATTACACAGTAATAGGCAAACTGAATATAGTTTGAAGCAAGAAGTGGGGAGGGAAAGTAGAATATATAAAACTTATAAATCCACTTTAATGTATTTAAGATAAAGGTAAATTAACTAAGTTCATCAAATTGCCCCTAATAAGTGTTGTTGTAATAAGTTTTGTGTACCATAGAGTCAGAACCAAACCATAGCTGAACCCTCCAGTGGGTTTTCAAGAGGCAGTTAATAGCATGGGAGGAGCTGGTGGCCTTGAACCACGTGCCTTCAGGATTAGAGTGCAGCTTCTTGCCACTAGGCTACCAGAGCTTCCCAGGAAGGGTTAGTCATTAGCAATTACCTTATTAGGAAGCATGGGTAGCTTTGCAGATGAGGAGCTGCGCTGCTAACTTAAAGGTTTTGAATCCACCAGCTGCACTAAGGGCAATCTCCGCCTATGTGATTTATAACCTCTGAGAACCACTGGGAGGTCAGCTATGAGTCTATTGTGACTCAATGGCACATAACAATAACAAAAGTATCAGATTCTTACCTATAACAAGGGATTTCTGAGTTGACTTAGAAAGCTCAAAAGAAAATGATGTTTTTACATTTCTATTATCTCAAGTTAAATTTTAATTTGGAAAAATGAAAACGTCCCACCAGCGAGAACTTCGTGGACAGCTACCTCACTTGATCCTTTGGTACCTCAATTAAACGCTGAGGGGAAAGGAAGAAATTGATTTAGTGAGGTGCCAAGCCACATGCAAGGCGATTACCTAATTCACTCATTTCATCCTCACAACAACCCTGCGAGGTGGGTTTTATGATTCCCACTTTACAGATGAGGCTCAGAGAGGTTCTGTAAGTTGTCCAAGATCATGCAGCTAGTGAAGGATGGAATATGTGCTTTTGCACATCAATTGCAGTCACCCAAAGGAAGGCCCGTGAGGGTGAAGTGTAAGTCATTCGGGGCTCTGTGGTGTAGCCAGAGTGCTGGTTCTTCTTTATCCCTCCAGCCACACCTATGAGCCTTCCAGTGGGTGGGGAGATAGGTATGTGTACCAGTGACCTTCCTGTGAATATTAATGTGGGCAGACAGCAACTCCATCCACAGAGAAAAGAATTGTCCATAGATCCTCAAAGTTCAGGAGTCTTGGTTGGAGCCAAAGGGGCTTGTCCCTTGGATCTAACTTGAGAGTAGCCCTGAAGAGGAGTTTTAGACACTGTGAAAAGACAAAGAGGAAGGATTTCAGCACTATGTCCTGATCACTTGTCTGAATTCATATGGAGACATCAGTAATTTTACACAGGTATGGTTCCGCCCCCCATCAATTCCCAATCTTTTACTAGTACCTGATGGTTTGGGTGGTGTATTGTGTAACATATGGACTGCTATTGTAAAGGTCAGCAGTTCGATTCCACCAGCCACTCTGTGGGAGAAAGATGTGATGTTTCCTTCTATAGATTTCAATGTCAATGTTCATATCAGTTGCCATTCAGTCAAAACCAACTCATTGTTGTTGAAAACCACCCAGTAGGTTTTCAGAGGCAGTAAATCACACAAGAGGAGACTGCCCATCTCTCTCCCAGAGAGCAGCGGGTAGATTAGATCAACCTGCCTTTGAATTGGGAGTACAACTCCCTACCCACAAGGCCACCTGTAAGGATTTAGCTGCCTGTAAGGATCTACAGCTTCAATGGGTCACAGTGAGTGAGAATCAATTTGATGGTAGTAAGAGTTCATGATATGGTGGGGCAGCTGTGTCTGTGAAGCATTTTACTCTGAAATATTGGTGCAAGTCAACTTTGAAGCTATCTAGTCCAATCCTCTCATCTTTTTTTAAAATTTATTATTAATTTCAATGAAAATTTACAGAGACTTTGGATTTCCATTCATTCATTGTTGCACTTTTCTCCCCTCCCAACCCTCCCCCCTAGTACACTACCCTCTTTGAAAAGTAAAAGAAAAATTCTTTCATTGTTTTACAATCCCTTTCCCAGGTCCACTCCAACATGCAGTCTTTGTTCTGGACTCCTGTGATGACAAAAATACCTAATCACATATCCCTTTTAAACATCCATCATCTAATTCAATACAGTATACATTATTGAACCCATCTTTCTCAGTCTTCCCCCAAGCCCGAGGTCAACCTGTTTTACAACAGTGGTACCATGCAGTATTTGTCCTTTTGTGACCAAGATACTTCACTCAGAGTAATGTCCTCCAGGGTCACCCACTTTGAATAATATTGCCTAAGTTCCTTGTTTTTCAATGCAGTGTAGTATTCCATTGTGTGAATATACCAGAGCTTCTCTATCCATTCGTTTCTTGATGGGCACTTAGGTTGTTTCTAACTCCTTGCTATTGTGAATAAAGCCACGACAAACATGAGTGTGCATATATCTGCTTGGATGTCAGTTATGGTCTCTTTGGGATATATTCCCAGTAGTGGAATTGCTGGGTCAAATGGTATCTCTATTTGTAACTTTTTGACAAAGTGCCATACCGCCTTCCACAGTGGTTGCACCATTTTACACTCCCACCAACAGTGAATAAGGGTTCCAGTTTCTCCACAACCTCGCCAGCATTTGTTGCTTGCTGTTCTGTTAAATTTTGCTATTCTGACTGGGGTGAGATGATATCTCATAGTTGTTTTGATTTGCATCTCTTTTAGAGGTAGAGATTTTGAACATTTCTTCATGTGCTTGTTAGCTATCTGAATGTCTTCTTCGGTGAAGTGTCTGTTCATAACCTGTGCCCATTTTTCTGTTGGGTTATTTACCTTTGTTTTGTTGTGGTGCAATCTTCTCATCTTATAGGTGAGAGACTGAGAGGCGCTTCTAGTGTGTAATGCGTCAAGCTGCTAACCACAAGGTCAGCAGTTCAAATCCACACAGTTTGCTACTTGGGAGAAAGGTAAGCAGTATCATCCCATAAAGATTTCCAGCTTTAGAAAACTGATGGAAGATCACTATGTGTCGGAATCTACTCAGCAGCAGTGGGTATGAGGAATGTATAAGGCGCTCTGATGGTGTAGTGTGTAATTTGTCAGGGTGCTAGCCACAAGGACAGTGGTTTGTCTCCTCTAAAGATTTACAGCCATGATATAAGCCAGAAGAGATTTGATGGCATTGAGTTTGATTTTGGCATGAAGAATTTACAGAACACTCCCTCCTCTCTAATCCTCCTGGATATAAGTTAAACAACTATTAAAAAGTTGGAAATTGTATAATATACTTTTCTTACTTTTTTTTTAAATAAAGGTAGTGATGGAGGCCTGCAAAGCAAAAATAGATGACTTGGCAGGAAGAGGAAGTGCCCCAGGTTGCTGTGATCCAGGGGGCTAGGAGGCCAGTGGTGCCTCTGATTCACCTGATGGGCACACCAAACATCTGGCAACTAGAGGTGGTACTGCTGTTAGAGACCTCAGGGCAGGTCCTTCCAGGACACTTTCGAGAGCACATTTTCTGCTCCAAAAGAGTCTTTCCATTGTCCTGTAAGAAATGTGATGTTTACTAGCACTGACAGCTATCAAAACTTCTCAGAGCAAGAGCTGGAAAACAGTGTGACTGAGATCTGTCTCCTGAACAAATAAAGGAAAACATTTCTCTGCTATTCAGGGGCTAACAATCTAGTGCACACTTCTTCTGGACTTTTCCTTTGTGCTGCTGCTTCTCTTCTTAAGGGACTTTGCCAGGAGCCACTGCACTGGAGTGTCAGATTGAAGGAGATAAAAAGGGGAGAATTGTGTATCTCTGACTAAAATAAAGGGAAGCACTCACAGGATGAGAGAGAGAGAGAGATTGCTAAACCATTATGCATACATGAGAATTTTAAAATATCTTCATAAATTTGAACTGAAGCCCTGATAGTATTATGCATTACTTACTAGGCTGAAGGGTGAAAAGTCAGTGGTTCACATCCACTGAAAGATGAAAGAAAGATGAGGCAGTCCACTCTTAAAAATATTTATAACCTTGGAAACCCAATGAAAGGGTAGTCTCAATGAATTGGAACTGATTCCATGGCTGTAGGTTTGGTTTGACTTTAGGTATAAGTTTAGATAAGTGTTTTATGATTTAGAAAGTTATTTTCAATACGTCATCTCAATTATTCCTCACAACAACCTGGTAAGGTAGCTAGAGTCATATTAGTCGTATTCTGGAGACAAAGATCCCACTGCTAATTAAGTAGTTAAGTTCAGGTCTCAAATCATAGTATAACAGTGTTGTTGTTATTGTTATGAACCGTTGAGTTGGAACTGACCCATAGCTGACTCTCTGGCAGATTCTCAGAGGCAGTCACACAGAAGGAGATTGCCCATCTTTCTCCCACGGATTAGCTGGTAGGATTTGAATCATGTGCCTTCATGTTGGTAGTGCAGCTCTTTACCACTAGGCCACCAGAGCTCTTTGTAACAATCAGTATTAGGAGGCACTTTTTTTTTTTTTTTTAGTTTCTAGGAGGCACTTTCGTAACAATAATCTTCTTGCAATCTTCTCCTAGAGTCTTACACTTATAAAATCTAGAGATTTAGTTCTTGCTTGAATTCTACCAGCGATGAGTAACTCACTACCACCTGAGGCAATCCATTAGTAATACTAAGATGAAATTCTTTGCCTTTTAATTGTCAGCCTTTGATTCAATTCCTAGCTTCTGTCACTAAACATCAAGTTAAATAACATTTTAATTCCCTTTCGTTTTAAATCTTGAAGATCTTCTGCTGTCCTTTCTCTTGCAGGTTACACTTTTTTCTTCACTTCTTTTAACTGTTTCACATGTGGTTACCTCATACAGTATCTGAAATACACGGTACAAATGTGTGTTGGATTAGTCCCCTGGCCCTTGGCATGATCTCCTGGTCCTGCCCACACATGTCCTCTGTGTCTCATGGTCTCTAAGGACCATCTCAGAGAGGCCTTCCTATGAGAAAAGTCCTTCAACCACTTAACAGTGTATACTGAGCATCTCCTACAAAGATTTCAATGGAAAGTGCTCACAAAATTCAAAGAAAAAATTCTAGTGTAGCAAATCTTAACATGAAGTCTAGCTCTATTAGCCCGGATTGCTCTATTATCTAGCAGTGCTGCTTTTCTGATTAAGAGAAGTAGTACCCCTTTGCAGCTCACCACGAGACTAAAAACTGTACTCTGTTCAAAAACCAGCTTCAATGGAAGCTCTATTTTTAGTTGGTCTTAAATTGGATTAGTCTGAGAGACAAGCACTGGTGTCAGCCGTGAAGCTGTGTCATTCTTAACAATAGACAATTCAGCCCACTTCATGCCTCTTATGTAAGAGCTGCTGTTGGAATGAGTAAAAATGGATTTAGAATTTTAGTAACTGAAGAACCAGGGACTAGATGGCACACAACTTTACCTTATAAAGGACATTATAACAAACTGTTACCAAGCACCAGGGAATATACTATCTTATTACACTACAACAACAGAAGGATATTGATGGCAGGCAGAATAAGTCAAATTAAACATCCAAAACAACAATGTCAGGGGCCAGGGAACTAATGTTTATATGAACTGTCTGAAATTAATCAAATTTTGATCATGCTTTCTTTTTGTTTGGAAAACTCTGATAGTTTTCTCTGATACTAAAGTAAAAACTATTTATTTTTTCCTCTATTACTTAACCAAACAAATATAAAAACCTTACTTAGTGATAAGGAGTTGTGCTTCTTACCCAGAGACATATGGTTTGAATGCACCAGCTGCTCTGTGGGAGGAAGATGGGCAATCACTTCCTGTGTGGTTTTCTGCCTCATTCAACCTACTGGAGCTCAGCTATGCATCAGTTCTGACCTGACAGCGCCTAATAATATTATTACTATTTACATTTATTATTATTTTATAACCATAAATTAAACTTATTTATTATTTATACTCCTTTTACTAATGTATAATATTTTTAAATACTTTTAATAATTTATTATTGCAAACTCTAGTAACTGATGAAATTATATTAATAGTATCTTAAGCTTGAGTTTTAGGAAAGGGTTGCATTTGGGAAATTGTATTTAATATGATAATATTCAGAGTGAGGCTTTTGGGGAGTGATTTGTATGACCTTTCATGAAAAATGGTTTTATTATAATTACAACGTTGTGTTTGATGCTGTCAAGTGGATTCCAACTCACAGATATCCTATATCCAACAGATCAAAACCTTGCCCAAACCTGTCATCCTTATAATTTCCAATCTGCCCAAGCCCACTGTTGAAGTCATTGTGTCAATACAACTCGTTCAAGGTCTTCCTCTCCCTCTCTAACTCTCCACCTTTCCAAGTATAATGTTCCTTTCTCAGAACCAATCCCTGCTGACAGCATGACCAAAATTTGTGAGATGAAGCTTGATCATTCATGACTTTAAATAACACCCTGGTTGAACTTACTCTGAGACAGCACTCTTCACCAATTCTATGGTTCAAAGGTATTGATTCTTTTTAGGTATTCCTTATTTATAGTTTAACTTTCACAAGCATATGAAGCAAATGAAAACACCATAGCTTGGGTCAAGGGCGCTCCTTAGTCTTTTAACTGACAGCCTTGTTCTTTAACACTTTCAAGATGTCGCTGAGAGCAGACTTGCTTTGTGCAATACATCTCGATTTCTTGACCGCTGCTCCCATTGATGTTTATTGTGGATCCAAGTATGATAAAATCCTTGACAACTTCAGTCTTTTCTCCATCTATCATGATGTTCCTATTTGTTCAATTGTAAGGATTTTTTGTTTTCTTGATAATGAGGTGTAATTTTTACCGAAAACTGTAGTCTTTTTAGATGACATGTAGAGAACAGAGGAAATTTCTAGTCAAGCAGGACCCACTATCAGCCAGGGGGAAGGACATATCCAAGCAATCAGAAATAACACAGTGACATATAGCAGAGAATTCTTCCTGAAAAGCATTAGGGCTGCATGGTCAGAGGTCCTGGGGCTTCTATCCATCATATTGTTAACTGATTGCTTCTCTTATCCTCCTCTGAAAAACTCATACTTTGCCTCATGGCACAACTTCAAGAGGGTCCTTAGAAGCCAGCTGATTCAACATACCAACATGCTCACATGAAGGCACTGAGGTTCAGAAATTGTGTAGGTTACAAAATATTATGTGTTTGCTCAGTAGCAGATGCACATAAAATAAAGAGGTGAGGACTTGGGTTCCCCGTCCTGGGCTCATTCTTATTTGATTACTGTATTGCCTGCCTCCTAGCATTTGGAAACACTCACGCATGAAATATGTTGTTCCTTCATGTTGGAGTTTTCACACATTTATTTGAGTGGGTCTCTTTAAAGACAAGAGGTGGTTTTGTAATTAAAAATCATATCAGAGTTTAGGAAGATGAACAGAATAAGTTAGGAAAGTGGGAGGAAATGAAGGTAAAAGGAGATATATAGACTTTTGGAAGCAGAAGTGGCAACTACTTCCTAAACAACTCTATGAACTTTGATAAATGACAATAGTTATAGAAAGACCTTTTGTTCATAGGGTTGCTATGAGTCGTGTTTGATTTGATGACAATCAACAACAACAAAACACACACACACACACACACACACACACACACACACACACACACACACGTTGTTGTTAGGTGCTATTAAGCCAACTATGACTCATAGCTACTCTGTGAACAGCAGAGCTTAGCTTTGCCCACTCTCAATAAAATGGGAGAGAAATAAAGGCTAAATGGGGAGTGGGAAATTAACTGAAAAGAAAATGAACACTTAACAGCAGTAGACTGAAATAACCATTAACTGGGAAGAAGAAACAAATAGAACCAGGTAAGGAAATTTTTTTAAAAAAACAACAAACACCACCATTATTGTAGAAGTAGAAGTAGAAAGATAACTAGTAAAATGTTTATCAAGATCCCACAGGGGGAGGGAGCTCTTGTGGCCTAGTGGCAAGAAGCTGCATTGCAATCCCAAAGGTGCCTGGTTTGAATCCATCAGATGCTCTGCTGAAGGAGGGGCAATCTCCTCCAGTACCAGTCAGATCCGATTTGACAGTACACACACACAAAATAATAAAATAAAAAAGAAATTTAAAAAAATAAGAACCCATGTGGGGAAGGTGGGAGCAGAGGAGAGAGGGTGGGCAGGGGAGAATTCATAGGGGTGCACAACTTGGTCGGTGGAGGGATGTGGGTAAATGAAATGGGAAAGATCTGGCAGGGATCTGGAAAAACAGGGTAATGGTGGACATAGTTAAAGGGTGATTATAAAACATAGTGTATGGGAATGATTATATAAAGCACAGTGTGAATGAGGGATGGGGATGGTGTGAAATACAATGTATACAAACTTTGTAAGCAAACCAATATAAAATAAAAAAATTTGTAAAACCCCACATCGGAAAGCACAGAGCAGGTCCGAGTTAGTAAGACATTTTATAGGCCCATGACATATTGTGTCAAAGCTTCCTATCCTTCTGAAAGTTGGACAACGAAAAAGGAAGGCAAATGGAGAGGGGATTGAATACACCATGGGCTGCCAAAAGCATCAACAGATCTGTCTTGAAGCAGGTGTGACCAGAGTGCTCCTTAAAGGCAAGGATGATGAATCTTTGTCTTGATTACATTGACCTTACACTTTCCCAGAATCAGTCCTTGGAGAAAGATACCACGTTCAGAAGGGTAAAGGGTCAGCGAAACAGAGGAAGACCCTCAACGAGGCGGACTGACACAGTGACTATCACAATGGACAAGCCAGAGATCAAGGAGATGGTGCCGGGTAAAGGGAAGTTCTGATCTCTTGTTCAGAGGGTCCGTATGAACCACAGTCCTCTTGAAGACACCCAACAACAACAAAGACACGCATGCTGAGGGCAGGAAGGGAGCCAAAGGACATAATGAGTCTGCATCTATGGGAGTGAACACAGGAAGCTGAACATCAACATGGTAGGAAATGGGTGAGGACCACCATCCATGATGTTGATGGAGGAAATACTAGATCAAGAAATGCTAGAGCAAGGACACATCACTCCAGAACCGGTTTAACATGGGATGTTAGTATCTTGGAAGGTTATAAACACTGTATCTGTAATATAACCAAGTAGTTAACTTCATATAATTGCCCTCTCTAAGCCTCCTTCATCATTTCTTCTTTTTTTCCTCCCCACATTTTGTTGTTGTTGTTAGGTGCCACTGAGTTGACTACAGCTCATAGTGATAGTGACACTGTGACCAACAGATCTGAACCATGCCCTGCGCTGTGCCATCCTCACCATCTCTGATATGCTTAAGACATCATATAAAATATATTTTATATTACTTATCATTTTAACCCTGGAGGACATTATGCTGAGTGAAATATCTCAGTCACAAAAAGACAAATATTGCGTAATGCCACTGTTATAAAACAGGACTGACATGGGGGCTGAGGGAAAACTAAGAAAAGAGGGGATAAATAATCTACATGGCGTTGAAACAGACGAGGGAGGGAACTGTATAAAAGGAATATATTATTAAGTATTATTGGCAGAAAGAGTCCAGAGTAAGAGCTGCATAGTAAAGTCGTCTGGGGCAGGAGGGACTGTATAGCAATGAAAGAACTTTTTTCCCCCAAGAAAAAGTGATCTGGGGGGAGGGGGGAAGGGAGGAAAATGTGCAACAATGAACAATTGGAAACCCAAGTTCTTCATAAACTTTCATTAAAATCTTAATTTGATAAAAAAAGAACATTCCTTCATCATTTCTACAACTTGCTTTTCAAATGGAACAAACATCCCCCAGCATACCCTGGAAGCCTTCCTTGTTGAGATAGTTTCTTAAATATTTGTTGGGATGCCATCCTCCCCATCCCCCACATGGTGTCTCTCTGAAGGGTTTCCTCTCTTGGAAATGCCTCCCCAATTACTAACAGTGGGATTTTCCTGAGGAAAATCCAGGTCCCCACCACAGTTGGATGGCACCCAGAGGAAAATGTCACAGTGCCTTGAGAGCAGCCAGCGGAACATGAAGGCAATTTCCAAATACAGCCTTGCTTGTTTATGCTTCTGAACTATGAGAGAAATTCTTTCCACACCATTAGGCCCTCTCAGATTCACATCTACTCCACCTCACTCAGGTTGAAAAGCAAAGCTGTAGTCTACCTGATAATAGTAACATTTACACTTAGTCAGAGGCACCCAGTTCACTGATTGAATGACCGGTGTTCTTCCACTGGGAAAGAAGAAAGGAAGCTGGGATGTTTTCCTCCCCACTGTTGGTGTTGGTTTATAATCTTAAACTTTTTTGAATTGTGCAATTTTAACAAAGGCATTTGCCTAGTCCAGGCTAAATACAGAAAGCTTTGGAGGGCTGAAAGAAGATAACGCAGTAGGTATTCAAGCCATGCTAGCTTTTTCTCACCCTCCACCCTTACAATGCATAGGAAGCTCTGGCGGCCTAGTGTGTAAAGAGTTGCACTAAAGAAGGCAGTTCGAATCCACCAGCTACCTCGTGGAGGAAATATGGACAATCTCCTCCTATGCAATTCACAGCCTCTGAAAACCGAGCATCAGTTACAGGTTGGTTCCAACTAGACAACAATGAGGAGAGGGGGGTTTTGGTTGTTGTCTTTTTAAAAAATTTTATTTTACCATGCATGCCACATATAAAGTTGTCATTAGCCATAGCTGTAGCCTTGGCTTTTAACACCACTTTGTAACAAAACCAGCAATCTATCTGCCTACTTAAAATACCAACCAGACCATTTTCCAAAATGCAATGACTGTTAATACAAATAACGAGCAGGTTAAACATCCCTTCACGCTGCACGTGCACCCAGAGTGAGCGGTTATCCACAAAGTTGGGTTAACGGCATTTTCCAGAGGACAGGCTCCATGAAATGGTGTTTTGCCCTGCCTTTCAAGCTGGGTTAATGCCAAGCGCTGGCAGGGAGGTGTGGCACCTGCCTTCTTAGTACTTACACGGGATCCTGAGCTCGGTGCTGTGCCCATGTTAGCACTCCCTTCACCTCATGTACTCCCCATCACTCCTATAATCCATAAAGGATTCTGATCCCGACACCTCCTCAAAATCCTCCAGCACCAGACTGGTGGAGTCCTCACCCAGGACGCCGCTGTCGGGCCTGGACATTCTGGCCCTGGAAGGAGGTGCAGGAGGGTTGGTGGCAGAAGGAGGGGAAGAGAAAGGGGGTGTTGTCCGGATAGCTGTGGGCAGGGCCTGAGGAGGGGGCGTCTCCGGCTCCTCGTGGTGGACTTCATCATTCTTCTCAGCCTCAGGCTCGGCATCTGGGGCAGCTGGACCCAGCACAAGGTAGAGGCTGGGCAGGCGGATATCAAAGCGCAGCCCAAACTTGGCAAAGAGTTTGTCATTCAGAGTATAGAGCTTCTCGGAGATATCGTAGCCCAGCAAGGCCGAGAAGAGGCGGGAGATGTAGCGATCTTTGGCCAGAAGATGGTACAGGCTTTTCCGGGGCCAGGAAATGTAGCTGCAGGTGGTCTCGGCAGTCAGAGTGACCTGAGAAGGGGCAAGAGCAGAGAAGGAAAGTTGAAACTAGAAAACGTGTCCACGTTGAGAACAGAGAAGCATGCAGCTGCTTGGTAAATAGCTGCACTTTTGTGGGATGATCCTTCCATGGCCTTATGGGAGGAAGTCCGATAAATGACCGACACCTGTACACGTTAATAAGGAGGCTGTCCCAGATCTCAGTGTCCACAATCGACCTCCACTTCCCTTATCCTCTCTGGTCCCAAGGCTGACATTACTAACGAACGCAGTAAGGTCTGAACATGTCATGACTTTGAGAAAGATGACTGTGTCCTATTGCTCTGAAGAGCGACTACCACGCTAATCACTTTTGCTTTCAGAATTAAGAAGGACAATATATTGGGGTAGAGATGAAAAGAAGTGAAAAGGAGTCAGCTAGCTTCTGAGTAGGTATGAAAAGCTGCAGCAGGTGAAACAGAGCACTGGCCTGCGATTAAGGCTCTTGAGGTTACTTCTGACTTGGCTACTCAAGTTAACCCAGAAGGTCTGATGCTTAAGGTCAAGAAAAGGGCACAGAAGAGGAGGAACATTTCAAAGAGTTGAAAAGTGTCCCACTCTCCATTTATTCACTCATCGAGAATTACTGAGCACTCGCTACATGCCGATAGTGCAAAGCTTAATTACACTTCCAGGGTAAATAAGCAACAATGCATACCCAGAACACAATAGGTGCTTAATAAAACTAAAGCTTAAGATGGAAATAAACTTAACACAGTTACAGATACGCCTTGGAGATGCTGCAGGCTTGGTTACAGACCACTGCAATTAAGTGAATATCCCTTTAAAACAAGTCACGTGATTATTTTTTTCTTTCTAGTGCACATATGAATTATGTTTACACTACACTGTAGTCTATTAAGTATGCAATAACATTATGGAAAAGTTTGAAATACTATGAGAATTACCAAAATACAACACATTGCCTTGTTGGGAAAAATGGTACTCAATGCACAGGTACCACGAATCATCAATTTGTTTTGTTTTGGTTTAGATTTTCAAAGCAGTATTTTTTGAAGCACAACACGGCAGTGCAGTGCATTAAAACAAGGTATGACTGTAAAAAAATTTTGGTGTAGAATCACACAAAGAAATATATACACTCTGATGGCCAGAGCCCTTTAAAAGGTGAGAAAGGCCAGGAGGATTCATGATGGAAATTTGTGAATGGAGACACCTGAATTGATCAAGATAACCATCATCATCATCATCAACAACAACATTATAGACATTTATTTACAGGTAAATGTCCCAGGCATTGTATTAAGTTCTTTAAATATATTTTCTAGCTAAAAGTATGGCTGACTTTACAAAACTCTTTGAGACTGTGAGCCTTTTAACCCCTGCACTATCAGCTCTCCTGTCATTCTCCCTGCTCTCCTCCTCACTCGGTAGCAGCCCTCTTCCACTTACCCATTTCCTTTCCATTTCCCTACCCTCTCCAATAAAGCACTGTGGCCAGGGCCCTAAGTCACAACACCAAGGCCAGGGGCTGGTTTCAAATAACAGCTTGACCACTTTACCAGCTGTGTGACACCAAATTACTGTAAGCATGTTCCCTCCGAGAAAGAATTCTGAAAGTAATACTTACCATCTGTCCAACTCACAGTTCAGCAAGAATTTGCCACAACCTAATACAGGAGGCATTTTATTTGTACTTACTGACAGTCCCCAAGCAAGAAAACAGAATACTGACCACAAGGTATTGCAATATAGGTAAGGGTGAGTCTGGACAGAAGCAATGTCCTTAAGTCCAAGCACAAAGATCAATCCAATACGAACATGCTTTAACTTCTTGCATCTTAAAATAGAACAAAACCAAACAAACCAAAATGCTTTTTCTTCACCCCAGTCTCTTGGAGAGTTGTCTTTCCTTTCATTTGCTTTCCTTTTTAGCAAAATTCCAAGAGACCATTGTCTATACTTGCTATCTCTAATTCCTTTCTTCTCTTCTCTCTTAAGCCAAAAAGGTTTTGTCCCTGGCCCTCACAAATACTGTTTGTTGAGGTCTTCAGTGACCACTCTTCTGCTGAATCCAATAATTAGTCACAGCATTCAAACTCACTCATTACTGCCTCTACTTCTCTCTTAGTTTTGAGGGCACTCTGGTAGTATAGAAGGTAAAGAGTTGTGCGTCCAATCCCAAAGGCAGATAGTTCAAATCTAGCAGTTGCTCCACAGGAGTTGTTTCTTTCTTAAGTGCCATCAAGTCGAGTACAGCCATCCTTGTCATCTCTGACACACTAAAGCCCATTCCATGTCAATCTCATTGGGGGTCTTCCTTTCCTTTGCTGACCCTCCATCTTTCCAAGCATGATGTTCCTTTCTAGGAGTTGTCTTGCCTAGATCCACAGGAGGAAAACAGGCAATCTCTTCCCATGTGTTTTGCAGCCTCTGAAAAGATGTTGGATGGCAGGCTATGAGCTGGTTCTAACTCCGTGGCACATAACAACAAAGCAGCCACTACCAACTTTTATGGTAGAGTATCTTGGTGTTCATGTCTTGATCTAATTCCCCAAACCTGTTGACACTAAGTCAGTTCCAGCTCACAGCAACTCTAAAAGACAGAACAGAACTTGAGTAGTCTTTATGGACACAGGTTGCCATATCTCTCAGCTAAGCGCACAGCAGCTGAAAAGCAGCCAAATGCTTTACCATTGCACTCCGTCCAACCCAATGACTTTAAGTATCATTTGTACACCAGCCAACAATTCCTAGTTAATGTCTACAGACCACACCTCTCTTGTGAATTTTAGACTGTGTAGCATCTCCACTTAAATGTCCACAAATTATTTGATTCAGTAACGTGTTAAATCTTAACTTCCTATATTCTTCCCAAATCAACTCTACTTGTAGCCTTGTTTATGTCACTTGATAGCAGTTCCAAACTTCCATTTGTGCCTGTCAAAAGTCATAGATCGTCTTTCATCATCTCTTTCTCTCACATACCACATCCATTCCATTAGGAAATGCTTTTGGCTTTATAAACAAAACATACGCTTGAAACCTCCCTAACCTGGCTCTCCCATCACCTCTCTGACTTCCTCTCTGGTCATTATTCTATTTCTTCTTCACAGTTCCAGTCTCATAGACTTCCTTTCTTATCTTCAAACAGGTTAGCTTCTCTCACCCCATGGGCTTTGCTCTCATTCCCATCTGCCTGGTAAAATCTACCCTTAGAGTTCACATTGTCACCTTCTCAGGTGTCATCTGTGGCAACAAGAACTTCTATGACCACCCTATTTAAACTTGCAACTTTATCTCCTTTTCCTACCTAAAACACACACAACACACACATGTACATGTCAAAACCCTCCAAAAGTTACTATCCTTTAAAATGTCATATAATTTATTTAATGATGATATTTGTTTCCCCTACCAGGATGAAAACAGAATGAGGGCAGTGACCTTTGTTTTGTGCATGGATATATCCCAAGCTCACAATAAGTAATCGCTATTACTAAAGTGAATGAACAAATCAGGGGAAGACTAACAATTGTGCATACTATAAAACAATCTGATATCACTCTCTAACATCTTACACAATATCTTACTTTCTCAGAGATCTTGGAGAAACCTATTTCTTAGTTGGTTCTGACATATAATGTAAATGGCTGTAACAATGTCTCAAAAGTATCCAGTACTGCTACAACAGAAATGCTTCAAGTGGATCGTTTTAACAAATAAATTTATTCTCTCACCGTTTAGAAGCTACTCATCTAAATTCTGAGTGTCAGCTCTCAGGGAAGCCTTTCTCTCTCTGTCGGCTCTGGAAAAAAGTCTTTGTTTTCTTTCCACAGCTGTGGCTCTGGAGCTCCTTGGAGACCTCCAAGGCTTTTTGAGATCCAGGTCTCACGCTTTCTCTGAACGGGAACCTTGTGCCCAAAAGACACGCTCTGCTCTGGGCTCTTCTACCTTGGTGACAGGAGGTCCCTCCTTCTCTGCTGTTTTCTCTCTCTTTTTATCACTTGTAAGACACAAGGTGATACAGACAAGTGCGAGGAAACCACTTCTTAACATTGGTTCAGATCTATAACCTGAGCAAGAGTGTTGCGTCTCACTCTAGTTCTTTATCAATATCAAAACAAATATAGCTCAATACTCCCTAATATTTCTTAATCTCATCTCATTAACCACAGTTAAAGATTGAGATTTGCGTCCTTCCTCCGCAGCAGTCATAGACGTGCAGCAGCCATGGCTGTGTGCTACCCTATGGCTGTGGGCCTCAACAAGGGCCACAAAGTCACCAAGAACGTGAACAAGCAGAGGCACGGCCGCCGCCGCGGGCGCCTCGCCAAGCACACCAAGTTCACGCGGGACACGATCTGGGAGGTGTGTGGCTTTGCGCCCTACGAGCGACACGCCATAGAGCTGCTCAAGGTCTCCAAGGACAAGTGGGCCCTCACGTTCATCAAGAAAAGGGTGGGGACACACATCCGCGCCAAGAGGAAGCGAGAAGAGGCAGCTGCCAAGAAGGTCTGAGTGTGCCCCATTGTCCCCCAAAGCCCATCTAATGTAATAAAGTGTAACCACCACCAACAACAAAAAAAGATTGAGATTTGCAACACAGAAGACAATTATATAGATCACTAAGTGGTGGAAAATACTGGGAATCACAGTGTAGCCAAGTTGACACATATTTTGAGGGTCATAACTCAATCTATAACAATAAATATCTAGATTTTTCTTGAATATTCTTCTCAGATAATGAATAAAATAAAATAAAAATCAAACAGACTATGCAAAGGCTTTTGACTGTGTGGGTCACAACAGATTGGGGCTAACTTTGAGAAGAATGGGAATCCCTGAACAGTTGAATATGCTCATGCAAAATCTATCCTTGAACTAGGAAGCAGTTCTCAGAACAGAGCAAGGAAACACTGCATGGCTCAAAATCAGGAAAGGAGTGCATCAGGAGTGAATCCTGTTTCTATAACTTTTCAATCTTTATGCAGAACAGATCATTTGGGAAG